AATAGCATTGACTCTTTATCTTCCGAAATCTATGTTTTTCTTATAGACCATACAGCTTAGGTTAATAATGAAAATTTGCATCGTTGTCTTTTTTTAAAGGATTTTTATGTCTTTATACTAGAATTCAGGGCTTTTACGGCACTGAAGATTTCACACTTGTTACAAAGATTTTCTTTTGTTTTGCAGGGAGCCAGAAAGAAGAGATAGAACCCAAAGAAGCTGATAACCACGAGAAAAAGGGGACAGGAGCTGCATCTCACATATCAACCTCTTTTGCGGCATTCCTGTTTGCCATGGTCATAAGGTGGCTTTGTTAAAGCTTAAAAGGATTTATTAATATTTTCTTGGAAAAACAAACGTTATCTCCTATATCAGAAAACAAAACACCTTTATTTATTTGACAACTACCTACCATCAGGGTAATGAGGTTCAACAAACTTTTTATTGCGAAAAGTACAAAAACTCAAGAAGACATCCCTCATATCAAGAAAAGCAATAAAAACAGAGATGACTTTTCGAAGCTTCTACATTTGCTCATAATTTGTTTGGACATTATTTTGTTATAGAAATTTTTTTATATGCATGATTTGTTTTATAGTTACAATCGCTAATTGTCATATCTTTATGGTAAAATATATAAAAACGGCTCACATTTCTTTCTTTATAAAATGATAGTCGCATGGATTATTTTAAAATATTTATTAGTCAATGTTTTGTGATGAAAGTGATGGATAGAGGCTAAATTTATCATTCTGTCTAATGTTCTCCAGTGACTTTTCTTTTCCCCCTGAAATAACTGTTTTTCTCACTTGTTACCCCTTCGAAACGCAAAGCTTAGCACAAAGTGCAGAAGTGTGAAGAGTTAGATAAATCTAAAATTGATTTTTAAGTATATTCTGGCCTAAAAGTTGGGTGGAAAATGCGCATTTTCGTATTGACCATGATTAAGAGAGGAAAACTGTTATTTCACCGCTAAAAAAATTTCTGTATATAAGTGGAGAATAATTATTTAAATTCCAAATCCAAAAGAAAAAAGAATGTTATTGTATTTTTGTAAGATATAATCACAGTTTCATCGAAAATTTATTCTGTTAAAAGAGTAACTTTATATATTAGAGTTGCAACGTCATCAAAAAACTGAATGTCTTTAGTAGTCTTCCTTTCTTTTTTTTTCTCCATGTAACAGTTTCCATTTTAAATTACTATTTGTAAATAGATTTTTTATTAAGGGGCTAATAAGATTATGACCTTGCTTTAGTTATTATCTAACAACGAATACCAGTCAAAACAATTATTTGTAAATTTATAATTAAGAAATTATATGTGTACAATCGGCAGAAGAAATTTCGTCTTTAGGAATCCCCTAGCGAGGGCTTTTACGAAAACTTTCAACTGTGAAAAACGTTATACGAATTTTGTTGAAAAAATTATGAAATTAATTTAAACTCGAAATTTTTGCTACATAGGGGTCACAATTACCTGTTACCTATGCCACAATGATGAAATCAATTAAGTGCGATCTTTATTATGAAATTTATATTTGGCTGACAAGGTCGGCATGGCTAGAAAAATATAACCTGTGATATTGTATAATAATTTGGAAAAAAAAACTTCACTCGATTTTTGCCGCTGTGCCATTATGATTATTATGGCTGTTTTTGTTAATAAGAAATCAATATTAAATTATATTTTAGCGTGATATGTTAAGGAATGAAAATGTTGAAATAGTTTTGGTGAAATATGTATATAAAATATGATTAAAATTATTTAAAAAAAAGAGAGAAAAAAAAAGAAAAAGTAATGATTTGAAACATAGGATGAATGGATAAAACATTAAGCTTTATGCTTATTGTTATAGTATTAGCAGAAACATGCATTTAAGTTCAAAAAGCACATTTATTTAGTATAATCAACAAGACAATAATTATTGTTGTCAAATTTTTCGAATTTATTTTACGTTTTGTTACTGAATTTGAATGTATGTTTCGCACTAATGTTGTATATATAAATGCGAGTTAAATCTGTCATCTTAAAGCATAAATCGAGTATAAAAAAAAATCACTTGAGGATTTTCTTTTTTTTCCACGATCCATGTAATATAATTAATTAACTTGTTAAAAATCCACATTCTGTACCGTGTACATGGTTATGAGTGAGATGTAGTCACGATTAATTTATTTAAAGCATCAATTTGATTTAATAATTTTTCAATATTTATTGTCAACTGCTGAAATCTAGATCAAAATGTAATTATTTTTTCTCTCAAAATTGAAATTCAAGAGTATCCATCATACCAGCCTATATTACATGGAATTTGTAAAACAGTTGATTATAACCACACTTTACTTTGAACTGAATTATTTTTTAAAAAATTGACTAGTCTTTAGGAGTAATTAGAATGGCATTATCTTGTGTTTATAATTTTTTTTGTTTTTATTAAATTTTACACAAATGTTTCTTGCTTTGATTTATATAGTTATGTTTTTTTATATATATATATAATTCATAGGTACAATATTTGTAAAGCTTGGCCATCTGTTTGTACGCAAAAGGTTTATTTAACATTCCACGGTGAATTAAAAAATAAAATTTTTCCTTTACACTTTTTCAACAGCGAAACAGTCAATAATTGGCCTGGCTTTCTGATACTGACCTTTTTTTATAACATCAGTGTTTTTATGTAATCACCCTTGCATAACGTTAAGAATTTGTGAACCAATTCTTCAGACTGTTGTTATTATCGTTTCTGTTTACAATTATTATCATTACGGTTATTAATCATTAAGGTATTTTGCTTATTAATGTAACACTAAATTATAATTTACGTTCACATTCTGTGTTAATAATAGATACTTAATGGAATAATAAATTGTTTCATATTACTTTTTCTCTGTATGTACCTATTTCTTTTCTTTCAATACTGTTTATTTTTGGTGGACACACCACAACACAAGTAAGTCCGAGGGTCTTCTATTTCAAACAGTGCATTGATTAAAAAGTGTTTTAAAATCCTAACAGAACTAATTTTAGTATGAGATTTATCTAAATAACAAAGGGACTTACCCCAAATGACAATCAGCGTCCGCAGCATCCCTAGCACATTTCCGGACCGACTGTCCGTCGGTGAGTCGCAACGGCTGGTCCTCACTGGCTCTGGCTTCTGTTTGGATTGATTCCTGGAGTCGACTGTTCACTGCTTGGGGTGAATCTTCGGTCTTGACTTTTTGACGAAGGACAGCTTTTTGAGGTGGCTGCCTGGGGTCAGTCCTTGGTCTCGACTCACTAGTGTACATCCTTGGTTTTGACTAACTTTTATTGATTGATTTGACATTTGATTTCCAAATCATCCCTTTTTGCACTAGTTTCTCTACTGGAGTAGAGGTGGAAAGGAAAATCAAGTCATGTGGACAAAGCACACCTGGTTGACATAAACCCAATTTTCAATGCAACATGAGGCACTTCATATTATTGGCCTTGTGACAAACCTTTTAACACTAAATAACTTGATATTAGTTATTCGATCGGTTGTCTGACTAATGCAACTTTGGCTTCCAGGTTCGTGGGAATTAAACTGTGGTTCCCATCAGTCTACAACACCCTTCAACGTTATTTATTTTTATTTTTCTTAAAATCCACAGTTCGTAGCAATTAGTGTCCAAAGGTTGGAAAATCCCAAGTTCTCCGTGGTTGAAATATTTGATTTAATTTTGTCTATTATATGGATGTTTCGGGCTGCGGCCCATCATCAGAACCTGAACATGAAAAACCTCATAGTACAACTGCCATCCGAATATACACACATAAGTAATTTACAATTTTTATATATAATATAATTGTAATTGTAAATTATTCATGAGTAGTATTATGAGATTTTCCATGTTTAGGTTCTGATGATGGGCCGTAAGCCCGAAACATCCATGTAATAGACAAAATTAAATGAAATATTTCAACCATGTAGAAGTTGGTATTTTTCAACCTTTGGATAATAGTTATTTATTTATGTAATTATTGCAAAGCTAGGTTTCCCTGGTTTCTGAGGAACGTCACCGTTGCTCCCGTCTGTGGTGTGACACCCTTCGACCAACTGCTTAATTATCGCAAAAGTTATATTTCCCAGATTGTTGGTGGATATCACAGTGTTTCCGTATGGATGATCACTTCCAATTTATAACCTTTTTTTGTGTGGTCTTTTAAACTAATTTTTTATTACTCTCACTACAACTAAGCTAAGTACCCGGCTTCATCGCCTTCCTCCATCAAACAATGTCTTCGCATTCCTCTTCATATATTCACTCGTTCCTGCTCTTTTGATATTAATCCCTCATACAAATCCACTATTTAGTCGCTCCGTCCTTCTTCATTCCTACAACCTCTCGAATTCCCTACCCTACTCCATTGCCATACCTTAACCCTTTCCACCTTTAAGTAGCCTCTGTTTTATTATCTCCTGCCCCTACAATTTAACATCAGGATGGTTCATTTTGTTAAAAATTTTTTCCTCTTCTTATTTAATTCAGTATTTTTATACTATCGTATTTAAATCTTTACTTAAATATTCACAAATTGTGCCAAATTTTGAACGTTTTAGATCAAGGGAGCCCCAAGCCCCAGAATAAAATTCGTTTTTTCTTTTAATAGACAAACTTATTAATGAAGGCTGGATGATCATGCAATCAAAACCCTTTGCAAAGTACGTCTATATTTCATTTACCTGATGGCTTAATGACCATATTGCCAACATGAAAAAACCAAAAGATCAGTCGGATGTTGAACATTGAAATCCAGGTTGTTCAGAGGTTTAAAGAAAACATAATTTAGCTGATGGTACTAATATTTTTATTTGGATCAGTGCTCATTAGAAAAACAGGATGTTTTTCTTTATCTATTATATAATGAATCAATGGATAACAAATAAATAGAAAAAAAATACCAACATTTGTTTTGCATTTGTAATTTGAAATAATGAAATTTTTCTGAAGCACCACAAAATTTAATTACAAAAAATATTTATAAAAGAAATGTCCTAAAAAAAACAAGCATTCATTAATGGAAATATTAATTAATGTCTAAAAGAAACCATATCTAAAATACAATAGATTTACACTGGTAACAAAAGAAATAAATTTAATAAATAATAGTACAACACTAAAAGTTACCAATGCACAGTTTAAAACAATGCACTATTTTCTTTTTTTTAAAAAGTTAACGATTTAGTGAAGAAATCACTGTAATTAGGTGTGAAAATGTTATTCTAAAACCCCTAGTGACAACTATTTGTGCAGTACACACTTTGAAGCATTTACCATTCTACCACATTGGAGACATGTACTAGATAAATGACAATGCTATCAATTAGAATTTTACAGGGTTCGACACAATTATGGAATCAAGAATTTGATAATCGGCAGAGAAAATTCATTACTCATGATTTCAAACACTGGGAATCATTGTTCACACCAACTTATTAAAAAAACAAATAGTTGGGACGATTTGAAAATATATCTATGTTCTAAAATAAATAAAATTATACAATACAAAAATAATAAGTATATATAATTTGACATGGGGTGTTACAGTTGAGCAAATAAACCAATTGTTTCTCTCTCTAATAAATAACAAATGTATTACCAAATATTTTCAACAATTAAGGACAATTTTTTTTTTAATATTCCCCCGTAGCCTCAACCTGTAACAATACCTACAAATACGCTTACACTTCGAATGCCGTCGTTATATAAAAAAATACAGCATGTATTCGATCGATAGAACAAAAATATATATAGATATATTTGAATCGTTCATTGCTTCATTTAAAGGAAAATATATATTGTTACAAATATAATAATTCCTAATGCATTATTTCAAAAATTAGTCACTAATGAAAACGTTAGAGAACCTACAACATCAATTATGTAGGAATATATTACAGAGAAGCTCAGAGGAGTAATGGGCGGAGGACAGCCATAAAGCCACCACTCAAAAGTCCGGCTACTGGAACTGTGACTACCCACGCAAAAATTATATTTCTGGGGACAAATACAATCACATTAGAAAAAATAAGAAAATGATGAAAATATTTATTAACAATATCCTGGTAGATGTCTCTCAATTACTAAAGGAATGAACATTCAACATAAATTTATTAAAAACCATCATGTCCTGGCTCTGTCTGTTACAACAATTTTAGCATTTTTTTTCTGTGCTTGTCTTTGTGCTATTAGGATAAGTTGAGTGCGGTTGTTGACTACTGCGGGGAACACACCTACCCGATGCAAAGTTACACAATAAATTGTTAGTTAAATTATTTTATGAGCAAAACCATGAAATAAATTGTTAGCTAAATTATTTTATGAGCAAAACCATGAAATAAATTGTTAGTTAAATTATTTTATGAACAAAATCATGAAATAAATTGTTAATTAAATTTTATGAACAAAACCAGAAATCAAGTGTCAGTTAAATTATTTTATGAGCAAAACCATGAAATAAATTGTTAGTTAAATTTTATGATCAAAACCATGAAATAAATTATTTACATTTTATGAGCAAAACCATGTAATAAATTGTTAGTTAAATTTTATGAGCAAAACCATGAAATAAATTGTTAGTTAAATTTTATGAGTAAAACCAAAAATAAATTGTTATTTAAATTTTATGAGCAAAACCATATAAATTGTTAGTTAAATTATTTTATGAGCAAAACCATGAAATAAATTGTTAGTTAAATATTATGAGCAAAACCATCTAATATATTGTTAGTAAAATTTATTCTAGTAAAAAATGGTATTCCGGTGTTTTATCAATTTTCTACCAAACCATTAAAATGATTTTTTAAATAAAAACTAATGACTTTTTGATCTCATTAATTTTGTTTATATTGAAATTAATATAATGACAATAATACATGTAGTTTGAAATAAAAATATGAGTGTCTGCTTCTGACTCTACTCAACAAAAATGAGGTAATTTTATGAGCAAAACCATGTAATAAATTGTTAGTTAAATTTTATGAGCAAAACCATTAAATCAAGTGTCAGTTAAATTATTTTATGAGCAAAACCATGAAATAAATTGTTAGTTAAATTCATCATAGTGAATCATTATTTGGTTGTTAACAATCCTGGTCTGCCTTTCCTTGTTTCTCCTGTAAGATATCTTCATTTGATGTCAGGGAAATAAGCAAGTTGAAGCACCAACAGAATGATATACCAAAACAACAATGAAAAGTAGACCAAAGCATTCGGAAAGGAGAAAGTTACATTTTGAAAGTAAAACAGATTTCAGTCCCAAGTCTTCGTTGTCAAGTGCTAAAGTTGTGAATGTGTTCACTTAACCGCTATATTTATTTATTAACAAAACCTTTGCTGAATTTTAGTATGTTGGAGAAAGATACTTAATTGGTGAGACGGAATGATTGAATTTTGAAATTCAAAACGAGTATTTTGAGGATTTTAGATTACAAGGAAAGAAAGGTTTAAAAAAAAAAAAATCCATTTACCACAGAGATCATACAGGATTGACAGGCCAGATTGTGGGTTCGAATCCCGCTCGAGCCATTGACTTTTTTATCTCAACTAAAAAACCTTAATCAATTGTAATTTTTTACATCATTTAGTATTAGAAAATGCCCACTACACCATGCCAAATGCCAACACTGTTCAGCCAAAGATCGGCTGCTGAGAATATTTTGCAGGTGTCAGTCCGTTGTGCACATCCGGCCTACTGTGTTGCTGTCCCGTTCCACACAAGTTCTTTGCATTTGACGAAGAGATCTGTGTTTGTGTTCTATTGTATTGTGAGTGTTTGTGCCTTAATAAAAATGGAGGATGAACAACTAATAGAATATATTCGTAATTACGAGTTTTTATACAATTTACAACATCTAGTTTTTTTGTTTTCCTTTTCCTCGTCCAAATTAATGGTAATCATGGCCAATTCCCATATAGATAATTTTCTAATAACCATACTTTATATAACAAATTCACTCCACACAAGAAAACAAAAGTTCACAAACGACGCGTTTTTAAAAAAAAGGAATGTACAACAGCGACTGAAGCAGGACGGCAGTTCATCCATTGCAGGGGGCATAGTAGTAACCGGAATGTTTTTTTCACACCTGACAGTATGTCCTAGTATGTTACGTTCTAGTGGGCAAAGACCTTAAAGGGAACAATGGACAATTAACTACTGAAGATGGCAAAACGTCAAAATGTTTGACTGACAAAGCCTGGATGATTGAAAACCATTATGCTAATGAAAATACCAGGTCTTTTGGAGAGGATCAAGTTAAATGTTCATAACTTCAAAGTCACAATTATTATAACTCTCCATCTATTTTAATTATTTTAAATATATATATTTTTAACATGCAATTTAGGTAAGTAAAAAATAATATTTAAGAAATAAAATACCTAAAAAGATGCCAGTCGACACCAGAAGACGAGGAGCTGCTAACCCAACCGACAAAGACAACAGAACCGACTTTGCAATGCGTCGTACTGATTGGGATTCCAATTTTCGAGGCGATCAAGACGGTAAAAGCAGCTCCGATTTCAATTGTGAAACCACTAAAATATAACATTATGCATCAAATTTTGTCAGTTCAATTTTTTAAAAGAAAGAAAAAAAAATATATTGCTCACGTCGAAGGTGTGATTTTAGTGAGATCCTCTCCGATAGTTTTGATGACACGTCTGCCCCAGATCCAAAGTCCTACAGCGATTCCGATTCCACCGTAGATCAGGATGAATAGCGGTGTCTCTGATTTCTGCAAGACAGTGCCTTCAATGTAGATTAGCCAGACTGCAATCAACGGTCCAATCGCATTGCTGAAATAAAAAATAAAAAAAGTTATGCATTGAATTAGTCGGAATAATGTAACCGTGTTACGCACCTTACATCATTCCCACCGTGCGCAAATGATCCGAATGATGCTGTAAGGACTTGAAGGAAAGAAAATACCCTAGCAATTTCGGGTGAATCATCACCTTCAATTTTAACATCCATTTGCTACAGGCAAAAATAAAATAAAATAAACACTTTTAAATATAAATTATTTGATTAAAATTGTTCTGTAGTACTCACCATAGGTTCAATTGTTTTTTCTCTTATCAAGGGAACAGCACTACTATTTGGCGACAGACCTAGAGGTAAAAATTTAATTATTTTAACATCTAATTTGATCAGATAAAATTTTAATACCAACCGTAAGCAGGTGTTACATTCCCGTTAGTTGGCAGGTTTAATTTAGGTGACAGAATATCATTCCCAGTCTTACTCTCCTTACTTGGTAAATCCTTAAAATATGTATTTCATGTTTTTTTTTTCAAAATAGTATAATTACTCTAACTCACTGATAAAGATTCCGATTGCGCCAGAATATAGCCATTGTTGTTAGCAGGAACTTCGATAATGACAGGAAGGTCTCGCCCTGCTGTACCCTCTTCCATCATCCTTGACGTTCTCGGGCTTCCATCCCTTGACGAATCTAAAACAGATCAAGTTCCAATTTAAAAACCCATCTTTATATTTCACGACTGGCTACAACATCGAAAGCGTTATAGTTTGTTTTTAGCAATCAAGCAAAACCCTGAACAACAAAACAAAATTAGTTCTAGTGCTTAAAAAATAAAAAAACAAAATTATAAATTAAAAAAAGGGAAAAAGAGGAAAAATTTGTAAAAATGTCCTTTCAGGACGCTGTACCTGTTGATTCCCCAAATGTAAACTGGACATCCTTGTTAGATGATTTTCTGATGTCCTCTGTAAAAATAAGGTTTCCATACGGACCATTAAATTTTGACAATTATTTCAATTCTAATATTATTTTTAACATTTTTTTTATTATTAACAAGAAAAACCGAAAGAAAATTGTCTGCACATTTTATTAACAAGAACTGCTGTCTCATGTGGCATTTTAGGGTTAGTATTGTGCAAAATTGTGTAATACTATTTCAAGACTAATATATATTTGGATTTTATCCACTAAAGGTGCTTATCCACTTGAGAGTATTTTTCTCTCGAGAGTTGTACTCGGCTAAAGGACTCATGGGAAAGCGCCGGCAGACTCTCGGAGAGCTGAAATATCTAGGCTTCCACAATCTCGCAAATACGAACCGATTTCATACCCCTGAGAGTAATTGCGACGCATTATCTTTAAACATGTCTGTAGCAAAATTGGGAAGGAATGTACCCTTATTGGATGTAACATCGAGTCATTATAAGAAAACGGACATATAAAGGCTAAAATATACGAAGAAATTGGTGGCCAGTTGAGGTGTTTTCGAGATAGGTGCAAAGCAAAATACATAAATATAATTTCATTATATACAACAATTATAATTAACTTCACTATTTTTCATGGTCCGCTTGACCATAATGACATACAATTAATTAAGGTTTTAAGCTGAGATAAAAAAGTCAGTGTCACAAGCGGGATTCGAACCCATGACCTTCGGCTTGATACGCTGCTACTCTAACACTTGAGCTATCGTGACCTCGACCCACTCGGACACTAACTTCCCATTTCAACCCCACCTTTGAATTTTCCCTCCTTTTTGCCATTTTTCAAATGTCGTGTAATCGGATTGGATTCTCGGTAACAAATGAAAGTCACGATAGCTCAAGTGTTAGAGTAGAGGCGTATCAAGCCGAAGGCCGTGGGTTCGAATCCCGCTCGTGACACTGACTTTTTTTATCTCAACTTAAAACCTTAATTAACTGAATTATAAACATTAACATAAAATATATAAATATAATTTTCTCATAATTTCTGAACTTATGTGCGTCTTCCAGCCATTAATTCTTGAGTAAGTATATGGCTTGCGACAAAGTTATTTCTTCTTGTGATTCAAGGCTTGAACCCGACCTTTCTTTTATTTGTTTTATCCTGTTGTAAAATGTGTAGAATAATTAGTACTGCTGTGGTTTTCTGTCACGATTTCATCCTGACCACTCTTGATAGTCGACTGAATCAACAGTGGCACAGTCTTTGAGAGTTCTCACGAGAAAATTGATGGATATTAGTTCGCGAGACACTCTCGTGAACAGAGGCGGGAAAATTCGACTGCGAAAATGCACGAACGTCTCAGAGTTGCTGTCGATCTCGTGATTTACTCTCAAGTGGACAGGCACATTAGGAAAAATAAATGGATTTTTTTTTTTCTCTCTCGACTGGCCACACTACACCTAATTTCTAAAGTGAACTGTGAGTTAAATTCAAATTGTGAAATAATTGTTAACACACCGATGACCTGTCGTCGCTGCCAAGGTACCATGAAGAGTTGGATGCCGATGGCAACAATTAGGCCGATGCTGAGGCTGATAGTGATAGCAAGCCAAAGAGGAATATTGTCGAGGTACAGCACTGTAAATAAAAAATAAAAAATGTTTAGTTAAAGATTTCATATACAGGAAAATGTTAACTTACATTTCGGACCATCGAGTACAATTGAAAAGATGTTGACAGAGATGGTTGCCATGTAGAAAAACGGCAATGCTCTCAATGCAGGCGTCAAAGGCGTTTCTGCGTTTATTATCAGAACGTTTATCGCTTTATACAAAATCACAGATACTATGCCGGACATGACCGGTGAAATAAACCAAGACGCGACTGAAAAATTGAACAAAAATTAGAATAAAAACCGTTAAGGGCGTAAAATGGCGGAATTTGAATTTGTCCCACTTACTTATGGTTCCTAATGTCTGAAGTTTGAGGCCTTTGGTGCCACGACACACCAAAGAAAATCCAACAGTGGCGCCAACAATGGAATGTGTCCCTGAAATCGGAAGCTTGAGGAATGTTGCAGCGATGAGCCAAATCCCACTTCCGACTGTAAAGGAAACCTTTTAATCATATGTCGCAGACAAACAAATACCGAAATGGCAAATATTAGTCTTTTTTAAATAAATCTCATCTATTGGCTTGCAAAATGAGCACATTTTTGAATATGTAATTCAATTTGATCCCTCAAGTGTTTATTTAGGCATTACACTTAAGGTGGCCGAATTCACGATCGCTCCACATGGAACTGCGCCAAGCTGTACAGATCCATTTGGAGTGCCTGAAATTTGAGGGGGCATTCACGACCGCTCCCCAGCCACAGTCGCTCCGAACGTCATCTGGTGAATTACCTTCTCAAAATGGATGACAATCTCTTGTGCTACGCTGCTGTTTGTTCATATATTAAAAGCAAACAACCGAAGAGGAAATTGTGTAAGAAGTGGCTCCTGGACAGAAGCCGTTATACCAACATCAATTTGATGAAACATCTTTCCCTTGAACCCACTGATTGGAGGAACTATTTAAGGATGGATGAAACGTCTTATTTATACATTATATTTAGTGTTCTATTGACCAAATTATTTCTTTCAATTAATTAATCATTTTTGTAAGGTTTTGGTTAAAATGAAAAAGCTAGTGCCACGAGCGGGATCTGAATTCATGGCCTTCGGCTAGATACGCCGCTGCTCTACCACTTGAGCTATCGTGACTTCGATCCTCTCGCACACCAAAAAATGGCAAAAAGAGAGAAAATTCGAAAGGTTGTAGGTTGAGATGGGGAATTGGTGTCCGATGGATCGAACTATCGAAGTCACGATAGCTCAAGTGGTTAGAGCAGCGGCGTATTTAGCCGAAGATCGTGGATTCGAATCCCCTCGTGACACTATTTTTTCATGTCAACCGAAATCTTACAAAAAAAAAAAAAGAATCGATAGTTATTCAGATATCGTGAGATGCGGTCGGGTGTGATGTACGTTTCAGAAAAACATTTTCTTTTTTAATTGTTAAATGTAAACATTGTTTGTAAATCCCAGGCCCTGAAGATGATCTCACAATAAAAGATCGAAACGTTGGCACAATAAAGAAAATGTTTTTCTGAAACCTACATCACACCCGACCGCATCTCACGATATCTGAATAAGTATTATTTATATTTACTCCAGCTTGTTACCCCCTTGATTAGAAAACAAAAGACAGTCATGAGAGAAATCATCACTCTACATTAAAATTTGGCAGCCACATTACGACTTCTCACTACAGGGATGAAATATGAAGAACTTAAGTTCTCAACTACGATGTCTGTTCAGCGCTTAGGAGTTATCAATACCGCATCTCTCATTGCATTTGCATCCTTTGCTTTGAAAAGGTCGACCAATTGGTTGAGAACCAAATTTCTTTTATTTCTATCGTGGTAATCATTGTCCACCACTATCCATAAACATGGTAAACTTTCATACAATTCCATCACCTCAACAATAAAATCTCAATTGGATGTCATTGCCAATAAAGAATAAACATTTTTGACTTTTTGAGAATGTAGGACGGAGATGTTTGCTGAGTGACAGAAAGACGGAGACTGTGCCAAAAAAACGCGGGTTTTCCCATTCACGACCAAGCCAGCGCTCCAATATTCCACCTTTCACGCCAGGTTTTCCCTTTCACGAACGCGCCGTGCCATCGTCGCGTTGTAGATATTTGGAATGGAGCGATGGAGTATGGACCGGCATCGCTCCGTTTGGACTGCTAGGAGGGATCGTGAATGGCCACCTTTACACACTTTAAAAATGGATTAGTTATGGTGTTTCTATTATTATTTTCATTTTCATTTTCATTTGAGAACAAGTATTTTTACTTTGCTAATTTAAAATATTATATCATTTCTTTTTTTTTTTTACTTTTTTTTTTAACCACAAAAGAAAAAATGCAGCTTAGACTGCTAAGGATAATTTATGGGTAATGATGCTTCAAGACTAAACACTGTCCATAAATGGTTTGCTTCGTTCGGAAATTTTGATTTGTAAGTTGCAAAAGCACTCTGGCCGTCCTTCACCCATTGACGATGAGCAAATTCAAGCTTTTATCACAAATATCATAATTTATCATTTTGCTCGATTAAAATGGAGGGGGAAATAGCGCATTTTTAAGAATTAAAGGTTTTTGTTAGTACAAAAGGAAAGTGTAACAGTCTGACTGCTAAAAAATTTGACGATGTTTTACGAGACAGTATTGTCGATTAGTTTGCTCATTTTAGAAATGGAAATTTTGATTTGAATTAAACAAAACGCTTTGGTCATCCATCAACCACTGATGATAACAAGCATAGCAACTGGTAGTGGAACAAAATGGTTCATATATTTATACAGGTACCTGAAATTTTCATTGAATTTACCAACAAATTTTACAACCAGGTAATTACAAAATAAAAAAACAACTAATTAATTTTCTACAAATTCGAGTATTAATTTTATAGGTTAGGAGTATTAAATTTTTTAATTAAGTTTTTTGGTTAATTATACCCTCCATTAGATTTTGACCAAGAGTTATTTGCAACTTTTGCACCTGTAGAGATTGCGATGTTGAAGAGTTCTATCTTTAGACTTGTACTAAAACCCACTTTTCCACCCCGGCAAAAATATTTTCCCTTTATCGATTACTTACGATATTTCATTATTTGTTAATTTTGACAAATCATAAAATACAGTAGTAATAATATGGCTCAGTTACATTTGCTATTTTCATTTGCTATTTTAAATTGTAAATCATTTTGATAATTAATTTCCAGACATGTTTGCCATTAATAGCAATCAATTATAAGAAATCAAGATATATAAAAAATTGAATCACAAATATGATAAATATAGAATATAATCGTAAAAGATGTTCCAAGACTGTGCTTTTTCATGGAAAAAGACTTCGACCTTGACACTAATAATATAGATTACTGGGTCAACTAAACGTATTATTAAAGCTTTCGCTCTCCTTGGTTAATATTTAAATAATTGCCGATTAATTTGCAGTCCCGACGTTTCCTTTTATTTGGCCAAAATTTAAATAAGAGCTTTTTAAACTTTTTTTTTTGTGACAATAAATTAAAATATTACTTTCAGCTTACGGAAACCTTTAATTCTTCATTATTCAGATCAGATTTTATAAATTTTGCTTAAATAAATAATCAATAAATCATATAATTAACAAAAATAATTTAAAATTAAAAGAAAACTCACTCAATGAGGACAGACATCCAAGCATTAATTCCATTTCTTGGCCATTGTACATGCTCAAGTCCAAAATCCCCTTCCGCATCGTATCCGACACTTTGTAGCCTAAAAAACAAACAGTAAAACCGTGGACAAAAGAAAAAAAATCTTACATAAATTTTACATTTAAAATAATATATTGAGTCAATTTTGTTGACTTGTTGAAGTCATCGATTCTTATTATTTAGAATTATGAAATAAACATTTGACAGTCCAATTGTCCGGCCAGTAAACAGAAGACAAAAATTCCATTATTTCAGTAAACGCAGATAGTGTAAAAGTTCCACCTAACTTCCCAATGACTATAGGCAGGAGAGAAAGTTTGGAACAAGTTTGGAAAAGTTAAATAACATTAATAACATACTATGTGAAAAGTACAAATGAGGAATAAGGATAAAATAAGCCTTCGTACTCAATAAAAGTACAAACAATGCTTTGTGCAACGGCATAATTTAATTAATTACACATGTCTCTTTTCTTTAACCCCCAATCAAATAAACAAAACAGGTCTTAAAATACAACTAAGCCATAACTATAATGCACAATCTTTATTGCAGTTATTGTGAAGGGTAGTAAAAACACCTATTTTGAGTTGGTTTTTTTACATCCTGTAACGCTGAGATCATAATTATGAGAAAGGACTTTATGTTAAGTCTAGAAAACGCTTGCCAATTAAGTTATATGGTGTATCACGAGGTAGTGTACTTTTAACTTTTTTATTACTATATTTATGAATATCTCGAAGTCAACATGAGCATTAGGCACGATAAGGCAATGTGACGACAAAAGTTGGAGTAAACATTATGAATTTTGCTTCGTCAAATAGGTAAAATTAGTTTACACGCAAAACTAACATTCTAAGAATAATAATGTTGATAAATAGTTTTTAAAAAAATTTGGGCAGAAACAGGCAGTCTTGCCAACATCTGGATTATTAGTTTTTTTTTGTTTCTAAAATAAACATGGAGTAGCAATCAGTGATAAATATAAATATATAATTATATATATAACTAAATAAGACCGGTGATTTTGTTATTTCAACCAAATATAAAATTATCTATTCTTCTGACATACATCCTAAATAGATTAACATCAAAAAAAGGCAATCATCTTTCAAAAGAAATTATTAGCGTGTCATTGTTCAATTTTGTAGAAATAGCCAATGAAAACGACGGCCTCAGGTGGATTTGAAAATAAATTTGAACAGGACAAAAAGGCGGAAACTATGATGCAAATTCTCATTCATTTGTTCGCGATCCTATTATTATGCTAATTGGGTGTATTCCGTCAAGTATTCCGCTGATGGCATGACTTGCCTGTTCAGCTCTCCCTACCAGCACATTGACGCAAAGGAAAAAGAAATTATGCAATGAATACCTTTACAACGGGGTATAATTGTTGATTTTTTATTTTATTTTTTTATTAACACTATACTAGATACCAATGAAACTCAGTAGCAATTGTTTTGTATGTTTTAAATAATTGAGAAAAAGAATGACCAAATTAAACAGAGCTTACACTGAAGCTAAATTAATTAAAATGCTAATTTTGGTATTTTGAATTTATAATTGTCAATTCAAAAGGGGTTATGTCATTTCTAGTTCCCTGGACAGGCCACCATAAAATATAAAGGATTTTATAAATAAAAAACATTTAAATGTTCTAAAAAATAATTAAGTTAAGTGACTATTATGCATACCATGCTGGGTTTCTGAATTCAAATGACATCATAGCACATGGAATTTTAACTGAGAATAGTACAGAAAAAAAAGAAATGGTGTAAACTGTAAAGTATTTCTGACCCAACTTCCAGACACCCAATGTGCAGCTGAACATTAAGCCCTCCTGCATGACAGGAATCACTTGACTTTTGTTTGCATTAATTATATTTTGCACGTTTTTACAGCAAGTTAATCAATTAAAAGCCCCCTGAGCATAAACACAGAGAAAATAGAAAATTAAATTACTAGTTTGACACATAATTAATTAATCAATTCTGCTTAAAAAATTATAAGCATGAAGAGTATAAAAGGCAGTAATATTACAGTATTACATAATATATTATGTAGACCATTTCCACAGTGTTGTTTAATACAGATAATTTATTTTTGTTTAATTACCATTTAATATCTATTTTAGCAAGATGGATCAACAATAAAATTGCAGGATGTTAATTATTGGCTGAAAATTTGCAAGTATTGCATGGCCATACATTAAATCCCGAAAATACAAGATTAAAGTATAAATTAATCAATTCTGCCTAAAAGTTTAAAGTATCACTGAATTTATTTAGACTGGGAGTTTTAGATATATATATTTAGGGTCCACATTAAACACCAATTGACAATGTTTAAAAAAGCATTCAATTTTTGGCCGTAGAATGTTAATTATTTCCCCAACAATTTGCAATTAATTGTTGCAGGTGGTCAAAAATCAAATGTCTAATATTCCGGTGGGTGTCACAAATGAAGGATCCCACTACTTTACAATGTATTTTACCTATTAATCACAAATAGAAGCCCAGCTATGTTGATTCAAAACCAGTACCAATAGTGTGGCAAATACAACCTAGAATCTAAAAATATGGGACAAGGGGTCAAACCCTATAAAAAAAAATAAGAAAAATGACAAAAAGGAGGGAAAATTCGAAAGGTTGTAGGTTTAGAAGGGGACTTGGGTGTCCAAGTGGATCGAAGTCACAATAGCTCCAGTGGTTAAAGCAGCAGAGTATTGAGCTGAGGGTCGAGGGTTCAAATCCCACTCGTGGCACTAGCTTTTCCATTTTAACCAAAAACTTACATAAAAAGATTAATTAACTGAAAGAAGTAATTTGGTCAATATACCACTAAATATAATGGACCTATAAAATAAATTTTACATATTATTTTCAATTTAAATTTCTTCGGTTCGGCGGGATTTGAACCCAGAACATTTAGCGTGGCAAATTTATGCCTGATGTCAGACCACCACAGTCCCGTTTCATATTAAAGGAAAAATCAAATGATTATATAATTCCTGTGATATTGGAGGGGTTGATGTCCAACAACACGTTGAATGTTGCATAGAGGTGTCTACCACTAAAAATAACTTTACATATCATTTATTACGAATTGAAATTCCAAGGGTTGGTTTGGATCCCAAGAAGTCTAGCTTGGCAAATGCCCTAACAATTAGACCTATGCAGTCTCTTTTAAGATTTTAAAATAAATAATCAAATAATTTTCATATAGGTTGTTTAATTTAAATAAGTAAATAGTCATGTTATAAAAAGTCAAATTGATGTTGGTGGGGGGGGGGATTTGATTGCTTGTATGATCTGACAGCCGTTGGTTTTCTGTATACGTTGAATTGTAGTTTGTTGTTCGTTTCAGTGATTATTAGGGTCCAGGAAATGTATTCTGTTATTGCATCATCTATTACTTTTGTTATATTAGCTAGTTCTGAAGTGTTTTTTTTAAGGAGTTCAGGTCAGTCAGTATGTAGTTTTTGTTGTTGATGAACAGTAATACAGGAGGGCTTGATGTCATAGCACCAAGATTAAAAGATGAAGTGTATATTAGACTTAGACGTTCTAGTGAAATTTCCCAAGGAAAATACAGCTCCTTACATATACCAACAGGAGTTCCTAAAAATTCTTTGATTAAGAAACATATGTTTGTATACAGAAGGATCAATGGATCAATTTGGGACTGGTGCAGGTTTCATTTATGTTATAGTTTATGAAACATAACTATCAGCTAATTTGCTGGATTCGTGAGGAGCATTCGAGAATGAGGTAGTTTAGAAAACCACCTTTTTCATTTTTTTACCGACGTTTTAATCTTTATTCGAGATATTTGCAGGGCATAAAGTATAGTGCTACTCTTGTGGTGTCATATTGGTGTTTTGTGAAATTGTTGTGTAAAAAAAAACAAATATTAGCATTAAGTAGTATTAAAATAAATAATTTATCATACAATATTTGTATAATGATGTTAAACCAATAATTAATTAATCAATTCTGTCAAAAATATTTAAAAGTGTAGCTGCAACTGTATCACTGAACTTACTGGTAGTTTTTGATGTTTCAAACAAAATTTATCTTTTACCATGCAGTTTTATTATTTAATATCCACCTGACATGAGTTGTGTCAGAATAAATACATAAGTAAATCATCCTGTTAAACAAATAATTAATTTTTCATATAAGTTTAATTACTTTCTAAATTTCAATGAGTATATGAAAAATACATCGAATAAATAATAACTAATATTGTGAAATATTATGCGCAACATTGTTGGTTTTATAAGAAAAAATGCTCTTTGAATCCTTTAACACACATTATATATGAGGGGACTGTGTACTGTGGTTGAGTGGTTAGGACGTCAGACTCGTATTTGCCACGCTAGTGTTCCTGGATTTGAGTACATGGTTTTTAATGAATTATAGTATGAAAAATGTATTGTGAAGTGGTTTGACCCCCTCGTCCGTGATATCCAATGGGTAGATGGATGATAAGCTCTCCCGTATGACAGGAATTACTGATTACATTATTACATTTCTATTTAATTATCATTTAAAGACTAATTAAATAAGACCGATCAACAGAGAGGAAAACATTTGTCTTGGTAAAAAAGATGTTTAAATTTTTGGCTGCAGGACCATTATTGGCCAACAATTAGAACTTGCCAACTCATAGTTGAAAGTGTTGCCAGTTCTCGTCTGCAGCTTAAGTTCACCTATATGTCGATAAAACACCCATAGTTTCATAAGAAAAAAAAAAGAATATATAAGGGCTTTATTTTTTACATTTTGTTTTGGTATAAAAATTTAGACATTTGATGGATGTGTTTTTAAGCATTGCTCAAAAGCTAAAATTACGATGTGTTCTCCGAATTTTAAACTTTGTTCGTCAATTTTGCTATTATTTATTTTAACAGCGTAGAAATAGTTTAAAGCTTGGTTTTAGAACCCTGTCGGTCTCTCGGTTCTGTGTAAAAATAGAAATTTACACCGTAGGCTAGGGCGCCCCCTCTGCTCACGTCCCGGAGAAATTCATTTTTCAAGCCCAGACCTGTCAATGTCC